ATTCTGAAGGGGAGTCTGAACCCAAACTAAACTTGGCTGCTGGGGGGAAAAAGCCATAATTAGTGGAGAACTTAAAAAGCAAAACAAAACAAAAAGACCCCCACAAAAACAAAAAGCAGAGCCGAGAGGATCCAGCTCTCATCCGGGATTGCACCTGCCGTGGCCCTTCTTAGTGAAAAGGCCCACGGATCAGGGTTTTTGTACATCCCATCATTGGGATGTACTTGGACAAACAGACTGAATGGAAAGATACTTATTATGGGCTGCTTCTGTGCAAGGAGATTCACCTGAGCACAGACAAGAAAGCTAGGACTCCAGCCAGCGGGAAGCTTGCTGGTTTGTCCAGCCTTGCGATCTTGACATTAGCTGTTCCCTGGGCCTGGAAAACAGCCTGGCAGGCCCCAGATCTTTGCCTGCTGCATCCTACCATTCAGGGGCTCAGTGTCAATGTCATATTCTGAGACCTTCCTGGTCTTACTATCGGTCAGTCTCTTTCCGTTCACCCCATTTAATTTTATGGGCACCACTCACTCATCTTTTCTTGATTGTTTACTTGTTTTCATGTATTCACTGCCTCTCTCTTCCCCACCCACACCCCAAACTTGCCTATCTGCTCGCTATTGAGCCCTACTGTCCAATACAGTAACTACTAGCCACAGTTGACCACTGACCATCTGAAATATGCCAAGTCCGAATTAAGATGGGCTGTTAAGTATATAACATACACCAGATTTTGAACTTAGTACCAAAAAAAAAAAAAAAAAAAACCTAAAATAAATCAATAATCATGTTGACATGATATATTTTAGATATGCTGGATTGACACATACAATTTTAAAATTGGTTTCACTTTTTTTTCACGCAGCTACTAGAACATTCTAAATTACAGATGTGGCATTATATTTCTATCGGTCAGGGCTGGCCTAGAGAATGCCTGGCACACAGTAGATACTCAATAAATATTTGTCGAAAGAATAAGTGAATTCTAACCACTGCTCTGAAGATATCTACTGTTGTCCATTGTAATCCCATTACAATGGGCTTTATTCAGTTTCAAAAGAACATAAAACTCTCTGGCCTTTTTTTTTTTTTTAACAGTAACT